CAGTGACCCCCCCTGGCCGTTGTCAGTGGGCCCCCTGGCCGTTGTCAGTGGGCCCCCTGGCCGTTGTCAGTGGTGGCCCGTTATGTCCAGTTTGGCCGTTTTCCGTCAGCCGGTCAGAACGCGTCGAAAGAACCGGCCAGCTTTTTCTTGAAGACGGCGCTGTTCCTCGCCGCCGACAACCCCCGCCCCGACAAAACCGCGGTTCCCGCTCGATGCCTCCTCCCTTCTTACTCAAGGTCCCCCCCCTCGCCGCCGAAAACCGCCGCCCCGGCAAAACCAGCGCTCCCGCCAGAGACATTTCTCTGTTACGTTGGATGGCGCCCTACTCTCTTTTGAATTGGCGCCGCCCCGCGCAAAAACAACGCCCCCGTTGGAGATGTTCTGCGTTTTTTTGCTTCGGGGCGGCGCTGTTCCTCGCCGCCGACAACCCCCGTGCCGACGAAACCGCGGTTCCCGCTCGATGCTTCCTCCTTTCTTAATCAGGGCGGCGTTCCTCCTCGCCGCCGAAAGCCGCCGCCCCAACAAAACCAGCGTTCCCGCAGAGACTTCGCCGCGTTTCACGCTCGCTGGACTAGCGCCAGACTCTCTTCAACATTGGCGCCGCTCCCAGCAACAACAACAGCCCTGCTCGAGACTTCCCCCCTTTCTATTCTGGGCCAAGTCTTCGCCTCGCCGCCAACCCCCCCCCCCCCCCCATCCCCACCAAGGCAATCCTGTCGTTCGATACTTCATTGTGCGTTGCCCTTCGTCGGGGCTCCACTGGCGGTCTCGCGTCGGCGCAGCAAGGCGCGGGCATGTGTTTCCGAGGCCGGATGTGCTGAAATTCCTCCGAGGATGTGTTTGCAAGACCTTATTGGGCGGGGGATCTGGGAACGGGACTAACGGATCCCGCTATAGAACAAGAGCCCCCCATGATGTGGATGGCCATCGTGATGGTCGCATGCTTCGCGTGGAAACATCGCGCGCGAGGGTAATATATGCGTTGCTGTTGTTTTTTTGTTGTCGTCGCCCCCGCCCGCGACCCACCCGCGACCCGCCCCGCGACCCGCCCCGCGACTCGCCCGCGACCCACCCCGCGACCCGCCTGCGACCCGCCCCGCGACCCGCCCGCGACCCACCCGCGACCCGCCCGCGACCCACCCGCGACCCATCCGCGACCCACCCGCGACCTACCCGCGACCCACCCGCGACCCACTTGCGACCCACCCGCGATTGACCCGCGACACACCCGCGAACGATCCACATTGGTTTGAAGAAAATATCGGCGCCTGCGGCTTTGGCGCCTGCGGCGGGCCTGTCCAGAGTCTCGCGGACTGCCGACGCCCCTACCGCCCCCTCACTCTCATCCGCATCTGCGGGGTGATACGGGTAGGGGGCTTATGCGCGGATGCCTGGGCGGCCTAGATTTGGCGCGGGCAAACTTATAAGGGGTTGCAAGTGTCCCATGGGGGCCTGCGTGGGTTCGATAACTCCACTTGGTGGCCGCAATCCGCTTAGACCAGATATGAAGCCGCTGATGGCCCTTCTAGCAAACTCATGGAATAGGCCGGGCAATGCATCGGCCATCTCAGCGTCCACGTATGCATCCGTTTAGCACCCCCCCACGCTCGCGCAAGCATGAATACTTTTCGCCACCGCGCGCACTTGAGACCCTAGAGGCCCTGGCTGCCCGAGACACCTTCGAAAAGCAACGACCTGAAGGTCGCTGCGACCGAATGGGGCGCGGAAAGAATGGGGCGAATACCGGCAGAAGTTCCTGGCCATTTAGAACGGGCGTCGCCGTCTGCGACGCCGCTGGCGAGACGCTAGCTCGCCCGTCAGCGGCCGCTGTCGGCGTTGGACAAGAACTGCTGTCGGGCGTCGCGCGCGTCCTTTCCGCGCCCATGGCGGGCGCGCCCGCTGATGAGGGCACCCGATTTTTCATCCTGAGCTAGTTTTTGACGCCCCCCCGGCCCAGAGACGGCCTGGGCGACACCTGAATGTCGCAGCGAACGCCCAATGCAAACGCCCCGCGAGCCCGCCAAAACGGGCGGAAAACCCCGAGCTCCTGCGAACTCGACCCTTCCTGCTGACGCGCGCGCGAAGAAGTAAGTAGCTATAACTACCTGCCAGTACCTTATCTTAGGAGTGGTTGGGAGGAGTTAGGACTGGATGCGATGGTAAACAAGTTCTATCGGAACGCATATTTCATGACTTCTCATTATTTGTTTCACCGCGCGTCCAGAACGCTTAATCTACGTGTTAAATATGCTCTGCAGACTTTGGCGTTCAAGCTAGTTTTCATGACCACCGGCAGAATGTTGCGCTCCGAGAGAAAGAGGGAGCGGGGGGGGAGGAGGGGGGAGGAGGAGGAGGAGGTGCTCGCGTTCCGAATCTTGGTCGGCTTCCACCTGCAGTTCGACGTCGCGACGCACGCCGCGAACCGCCGCGGGGGGGATCGCGCTCATCATCCGCTCGTTCCCTGCAACACCCCCTCCTCCTCCACGCCCCCATCTTCCCCCTGACTTTCTGCAGCGGCCAGACAACTTCGCATGTGATATTACTCTGCCTCCTCCTTCTTACGCAGCGGCCAGACAATTTCGCATTTTGTCATATATTCTTCCTCGCGCAATATCGCCCTTGCGCGTTGCAGCGGCCGGGCCGCCCCAGTCGCCGCCGCGACCTGACCGCTCACGTGCTTAGCGCCCTCGTGCGTAACAGCGGCTTGGCCGCTAAATCTTTACTGATTGATTCACGCAGATCGCCATCGCCCGCGGGCGTCAAAACGGCCCGCCCGCTCGCCGCTCGCGCGCAGCATAGCAAAGAGAGGAGGGCGAGGGGGAGGGGGAGGAGGAGGAGGATGAAAAGGAACTGCGATCGAGCAGCGCAGAGCAAAGCGGTCGGCCCGCTGAGGAGGAGGGCGACGACGCCCAGGCAACATCCAGACAACACCCAAAACACCCAGCCACAACGGAGACAACGCCCAGACAACGCACCGGCACCTCCTCCGACTCCGCCCCCCCCTGGCCCCACTCCGCCCCCCCTCCCGCTCCGCCCCCGCCCCGCAGGGCGACGCCTGACAACGCCAGACAACGCCAGACAAAACCAAACAACAAAAAAACACACAAAAAACACACAACAACAAACAACGAAAAAAACAACAAAACACAACGTGTTGTTTTTTTTTGCCGCGTGCACGCTGTCTGGCGCCGGCTGGCGCCGCGGGCGCCCAGCCAACACAAGACAACAAAAGCCAACCGACAACGACAAACAAACAACAAAAACAACAACAAACAACAACAACAACAACAACAACAACAACAACAACAACAACAACAACAGCAACAACAACAACCACAACAACAACCACAACAACAACCACAACAACAACCACAACAACAACAAGACCGCTCTTTCTCCCCCTCCTCATCCATTTGCTCCCCTTCGTCTTCTCGCTCGTCCTCCTCCTCGTCCTCCTCTGCTAGCGGTCGCGCCCACTTCGGCGCGGCGGCTCGCCCCGCTATCTCGCTGTAGAACGGCCGCCCGCTGCGGCGCATCACCTTGCCCTGCTGGCATCGCTTCGTGTCGGCGCAGCGCCTCCTCGCTGCAGCGGTCCTCAAAGGGACGGAGTGCCTCGATTCGCTAATGGCCGCGGTGCCGACTTCGGCGCTGGCTGCGGCGCCGGCCGCGGTGCACTCGTCGGCGACCCAGGTGGCGGCCATGGCGCCTTTGCAGCTGGAGGCGGCCGAGGTGGCGGCTTTGGGCCTCGCAGCCTCGTCCTTCTTCCCCGCGCCCCACCCCTCCTCCTCCTCAGCGGTCCAACCGCTTTGTAGTTTTCGAATGTAGCTCCTCCTCCTCTTCCTCCTCCCTCTCCCCCTCCCCCCCATATGGCCTCCTGTTGTTCCTCCCACCACCCCGCCCTCTTCCGCTGGAGCGCAACGTTCTGGGCGTGATTCAGAACAAAAGTTAAAAAGCGGTCTGGCCGCTGCCGACAGTCAAGAGGACGAGGAAGAGAGGTTAAGGGGAGGAAGAGGAGCAAGCGGTCTAGCCGCTGGGGGAGGAGGAAGAGGAGGAAGAGTAATCCCCCCCCGCGGGCGGATCGCAGAAGCCCTTGACGACGCTGATGTCCGACTTCAGACAGAAGCCGAACAAGGCCAGGAGCAGGAGCAGGAAAGAAGAGAAAAAGGAGGAAGAATGAGCTCAACCTGACCAATCGACAAGAATTTTGCGCAGACTGTTCTTTGTCATCATTTTTCAATATTTTACTATGTTTCACTATTTTCATTTTTTGTATTAGTTGTTCACTATTTCTTTACTATGTTAAACTATTTTCCGAATTTCGTACTGTATGTTGATCGCATAGTACAGTGTCTAATAGAGCCTGATCGCTCGATATAGGCATGCCACGCACCAAAGTAGAGGAACACAATACTGCTGCGTAAACAGTAACGCCTAGAGGTCCGCGCGGATTCCTTCTGCAAGACATAGCCCTCCCCCCAAACACGCCGTGGCAGAGCGCGGGCGGGGCCCCGCGTGAAGGCGTGGAGCCGAGGCTGGCACGAAGTATAAAACAAAAATGGAAGGGCACGGGTCGTCGACCAGGGATGCCCAGTCGGTCGCGGGCGCCTCGGGGACCCGAAGCCCTCGAAGTGTTCCCCATGGGCCCTCTGCGCGCCAGGGGCGGCGCCGCCAAGAGGGTCCGAGGTTCTGAAGGTTTTGAAGGTCCAGGTTTACGCCGGTCTGTCTCCCTCGACGGAAGGCGTCCAGGCATCTCCCCAGACATCCGCCTGTACGATGTTTTCAATCCGCGGCCCCAGAGGTCCCGAACCCTTCCACAGAGGATCTGCTCGTCCCGGGTGAGTTTGTTTTGCCCTGGGGCCCGACAACGGCCACCGAGCGCCGAAATCAGAGAGAAACTCCGAGATCGAAAAAATATGATCGTCGGAGATCTGGCTCCAGGACCCGTTTCCCTCAGGGCCCGCCCCTCCCTTCCACGGCGCCCTTCCTTCATGGGGGCGGTCCTCGGTCCAGGCCCACCACTTGCTCTTGAACGTGGACGGGAAGGACTCCTTGACGAAGTCCGTGCCCCTAACCTCCACGAGCATCACCTCGGGTTGCTGCCAAAGTACCCCCAACACAAAACACGAGCGGCGAACGTCGTGACAAAAATCACGGGAGATAATTCACCAATAGCGTTTCGCTGGAGGGTTCCTGATACAATTTGTTCAAGCCCTGACCCGGGGGGGAGGGGGCCATCCACGTCACATTTCGCGCCAATGTCGTCCAAAACTGCCTCGGGATCGCTACTGTTCTGGCCAGATTTCCGCACAATTACTGGAGACCTAAGCATGATCATCGTTCGATGCGAATGTCTCGCGTGGCGCTGACTGGCTGGAAACCGGAACAATCATAGCACAGAAAACAAAGAATCGCTGCCCCATGGTAATTCTCATGAGCGGTGGAATCCAGAAGCGCTTGGTCCAGCAGCCATTTCATTTCGCCTGAGGTTTCCTCACAATTTACTCCGGAATCGTGCTCTCGCCTCAGTGCCAGCTGCCCACGATCCACTGTGACGAGCACAATAGGGTGCCCATGGCCGTGCCTCCACCCGCCCCCATGTTCACCTTTGCCGCCATCAGGGTTCGGCGCTGGGAAAACTTTGGCCGCGTTCGGCCTCAAGGGGTCCTCGCTGGGATCCGGGACAATCAAAAAAACACTCGGGGCAACGTCACCCTCTCCGCTGCTCCTCCTCCTCTTCGTCCTCCTCTTCCTCCTCCTCCTCTTCCTCCTCCTCGTATTCGTCCCCTCCTCCATCTCCTCTCCTAGGCGCCCCAGCCGCGGCCCATGCACCGTTCGGGCAGCGGTTTCTGCCCACGCGACCTGCATGGATACACGGCTGTCTTGCTTGGGTAATGGGCCGGGACCCCCAGGGACCCCGCATTCAGAATTTCCCTGCGACGTACCCGACCCGTATGCATCAAATGACAAAATAGGTGGCGAGACTTCTCTGGACGGTGACATCGCAGGAAGCGCCAGCACTTGCGGATGCTACAAGGGATGCGCTCGCGCTTTGCGCGACTTGCAAGGCATCGGTTTAAAGACGAGGAGTAAGGCCCCAGGCTCGAAGAGGAGCAGGGGATGGACGAAAAAGGGGGACGACAAATCGGAGAAAGGGAGACGATGGGGGAGCAGGGAGACGGAGGAATGGGAAAGAGGACGACAACGCGCCAGACTGGATGGGCATGGCGGGTTTTCGGCCCTCCTCCCTGTTCGGTGTTCCTCCCTTCCTCATCCATCTTTTCATCCTCCTCCTACTTCCCTTGATGAAATTCCTTACCCTCCTGGACTTCTTTGAAAACGTGGTATTTGTCACGTCAGGGCAAGACTCATGCCGGGGTAAAGACCCTTCTGAACAAGGAGTCTTTCAAAAAGGACTCCTGAGAGAAGGCGCTTGAAAAGGACGCATTCAGAAAGGCTTCCTTCGAAAAGACTCCTTGCATGAGGATGCCTTCAGCATAGAATAAGTTGGTAAGGCTTCTCCTAATAACGAACCATTCGGATATATATCCTGGCCAATGAATCCGTTCTTATTCCTTCAGCGATGGCTTGCCAATCAAGATTCCTTCAGTAACGATTCATTGGTAGGGACAGGGGAGCCCAGAATTGAATCGATACGTCGAATCGGCGATCGAAATGAATCGGATCGGCGGAAACCGGCAGCAGAACCGGGAAAAATCGAACCGGTAGACATCAGCAGGCTAGTAGGCCTCCATTGAGAAAGCGGATCTCAAATCGGAATCCGATGTCGAGTCGAATCGGAATCGAAATCCATCGAAATCGAATCAAATCGAATGGAAATGAGCGCTGGGTAGGGACTCCTCAAGCAAAGTCCGTGTGAAGGACCCCTTTCATACGGATTCCTCCTTCTGAAAATACATTCAAACGTTCCGTGCGTAAGGAACCCTTTGGTAAGGATTGTGGAGTCAGGACTCATCGGTACAGACTCCTTGGTCGTTGGCAAACAGTCCTTCAGGAATGATCCCTGTTTCGACGATTAATTTGGCAATGCTTCGTGTAGTACGGACTCAGTGTGCGACTACTTGTGAAGTAAGAACCCCTTATGTTAGGATTCCCTAAGGAAATACATCGGCGAAATGGACTCCGAGATTCCGTGAAGCCTGTAAGTGCCAATTGCAATCAGGGTTCAGGCAATATTCCATCAATACCGGACACTTGCAACAAGGGTTTACGAATGGGGATTCGTTACTAAAGACCCATGCGCACGGACTCCTTCCTCTTCAACCTCCCCTCTCCCTCTCCCTCTCCCTCTCTCTGTCTCTGTCTCTGTCTCTATCTGTCTCTCTCTCTCTCTCTCTCTATTTCGTTATCTCTCTGTTGCTCTCTATCACACACACACATATAGGTTTTAGTAAAAACACACATATATATGTAAATATGTGTATGTATAGGAGTATACATGTATATATAATAGTATCATACATACATACATACGTATATGTATACTTTTCGTAGATATATATATATATATATATATATATATATATATATATATATATGAATATACGCACACACACATATATATATATATGTAAATACACATATGTATACATATATATAATTATATTTATACATACAACACAGCAGTGGCGCTTCGCGCCGTGCACCTTGGTCCTTGAAGTTTGGTACGCAGGCGGAATCGCAGGAATGTCAAGTCAAACCGACAATCTAGCAATACCTCCTTGTTGCCTTCGGCATCGCCACTAAAATAATGTTTTCCGTTATCCTTCCTCCATGCTTATTTTTTTCGTCTTCGCCATGCCCTGCGCATTCTCCCCATCCTCCTCCGATTTTTTTGCGGAAGGTCCTCCTCGGAGAGCCTTTTGGGGGCCTCGCAAAAATTGTTTCAGGTTTTCTTGAGGCCTTCTGGAAGCCATATTCTGGGGGTCTCTGGGGGCTTCCTCGGGCCACCCTGCCTCCAACCGCGGTCTCCCTGAACGACCGGGTCACGATTTGGAATGCTTCGGAGGGTGTCTTGGGGCCATCTTGGGCCGCCACGGGGCTATCTGAGGGCCATCATGGACCCGTGTTGTGCCGCTTTGGGGCTCTCTTGGATTGCCTGGAGGCCCTTTTCGGACGGTCGTGGATCGATTTTGGAGCCTCCCAGGCAGCTTTGGGCGCCCAGAAGACCGCTGTTTTGGAGCGTCGGGACCGTCCAAAATTCACCCAAAACCAATAGAACATCGATGAGGTTTGCCTCTCGGGCCTTCTTGGGAGCGCTCTTGGAGGCCTCTGTGAGGCCGTCCTGGAGGCTTCTTGGGCCATATTGACGTCGCGTCGGTCACTCCTGGAGCGCTTTTGTGCTGTTTTGGGGATCTCTGGGATGACCCCTCTGATCGCCCTCGGAGGGCCCCAGCGCCCCAAACCCCGGGAGTCTATTTCTTTTGGAGGGGGGCGAGGGGTTTCCCCTTCCGCCCGGGCTAATAAAATTTAGGAAAGTGAATGCATGTGCGCATGTTCCCCCAATCAGAGCCCCCCCCCCCCTTGAGGGTCGCATCTGCTCCAATTAAGTGTTCGCGCGAATCAAGATAAACAGGGCTGCTCTCCTTAATTAGATGTTTGCCTTAATTAAAATGAGAGGTTTTCAACTGGTTTCTTTTATTTTTTGATTATATGTTGATTTCCTGTTGTTCTATGTTGATTCTATGTTGGTCTCATGTTGGCCCTATCATGTTATGTGTTTCCTCCTCCTCCCCCTCCCGCCCACCCCCCCCCCCCCCCCCCCTTCCACCCCCCCGCGGCGCCCCCTCGACAGGAGACGTTGTTTTTCTGCTCAGCAAGCGCAAGAGGGGAAGCACGGCCCCCGATTCTGGGCGCAGGGGCGGCGCGCGCTTCACTCGGCGAAGGCGTCGCCGCTGGTTCGCCTGCAAGTCCGCCCCGCCGTTCTGGGCCGCTTGCATCTCCGACAAGATCGCCAGCCGCTCGTCGATCAGCTTCTCGGCCCTAGGCCCTTGGTAGTGCTTCTCGTTGCTGGCAGCAGCGATGCCGCCAAGAACCGCCCAGCTCCTGCGCGTAGCGCCAGGGCTGCGCGTCGGCCGCGGCGCGGGCGCCGCGCGTCGAGCATCGAGCGCCCCAGGCTGCCATGGCAACTGCCACGGTGAATTCCGGAATTCGGGTCGGGCAGCTCGCAGAAAACTTAAAGCCAAAAACGGCTGCGGCGGCGAGGATGAGCATGGGGAATACGATTGGAAACTAAACGGCGGATGATGGGGCGGGGGGGGGCGGGGAAGGAGAGCTCCGGAACGAGTCGGCGTAGCCTCTCCTGCGCAGGAGGGGCCCCCCTGAACGGGAGGGGGGGGGGGGGGGGGCGACATCTGTTTTGGACGCGGCCGAGGGGCCTTTCAACAGATCCCAACGAAAGGCTGCGAACAACGAAAAAACTGCTCACCCATGCGACGCTGAAGCCCTCGGGCGCGAGTGCGCTGCCACGACGCTTGGCGAAGTGAGCGGCCGCGCCTCCGAAGTCCTCATCCCTGTAAGTCCAGCGCGTCTCGGGTTGCTGGCCCTGCAATGAGTCCCGGCCCATCTCGAGCAGCCGATGAAGCTTCGGTCTGATGTGAAACACTTTCGGGCGCCTGCCGCGCAGAGCGGTGCGCTGCAGGCTGAACTTAATCGACTGCCCATTCAGACTGTCCCCCTTCAGGCTACCACTTCTCAAGCACAGATAACGCTGAGACAAATTAAACACCGCATTTCACATCGCGGCCTCCTCCGCGACATTCGGGTCGCTGAGCTCGCCGGCGAGTGCTTTCCCCAAAGGTAGCATGTGCCTGATAACGGCAGCCTCCCCTGAAAGCCGTATTACCTTCCTGTGCTTCATAGTTTTCATGGTCAAGGAATAAATGCGATCCATCTCTGGGTTCTGCCCGTGCCAAGTCCTCAAGCGATTCCATAACCCTTGGCGCTGCGCGTCGTTCGTGGGGCACTAAATTGCGTCAGTTGAATCAATATGAAAAAAACATTTGCCCCGGCCAATCTGCTGCAACGCCCGAATCAACTGCGCGCAACCAATCGGTTCTCTAAACGGATT